AATGCATCAAATCTATTCTTTAGATGGTCTCTAAATTCAGGTAGGATATAATCAAGGTCTTATTTTGGCTCTCGCGGACTTCTTTTAATTGTCTTCAGCTTCAACTTGAACTCGCATATGAATAGTTGATGGTCAGTTCCACAATCAGCTCCTGGCCTTGTTGTGGCTGGAGATATTGAGCTTCTCCATTGCCTTTTGCCACAGATGGAGTCAGTTTGATTCCTGTGGACTCAGTCTGGTGAAGCCCACATGTATAGCTCTCATTTGTGTTGTTGAAAAAAGGTATTTGGAATGAATAAGTCGTTGGTCCAGCAAAATTCTATCATGCAATCTCCGTCATTTCTATCACCAAGGCCATATTTTCCAGTTACCAGTGATTCTTCTTTGTTTCCAACTTGTGCATGCCAGTCACCCGTGACAATCAGCACATACATCTTGATTACATATTTGGTCAATTTCAGACTGCAGAGGCTGGTAAAAATCTTCATTTTCCTCATCTGTGGCTTTGGTAGTTGGTGTGTAAATTTGAATAATAGTGATATTAACTGGTCTTCCTCATAGGCATATGGATATTATCCTATCACCGACAGCACTGTACTTCAGGATAGATCTTAAAACAGTCTTTGTGACAATGAATGCCACACTATGCCTCTTCGATTTGTCATTCCCAGCATAATAAATTATATGGTTGTCTGATTCAAAATGGGCAATCCATTTCAGCTCACTAATGCCTAGGATATCAATCTTTATGTGTTCCATTTCATTTTTGACAACTTCCAATTTTCGTAGATAATTATTTCGTATATTCCATGTTCTGATTATTAATAGATGTTTGCAGCTAATCCTTCTTATCTTGAGTCATACCACATCAGCAAAAGGAGGTCCTGAAAGCTTTACTCCATCCACATCATTATGGTCAGCTCTGTTCTGAGGCGGCAACTCTTTCCTAGTCATATTTTGAGTGCCTTCCGACCTGAGGGTGTCATCTTCTGGCACTATACCAGAAATGTTTCAGGGTTATTTTTTAGTACTATGTCAAGCAGTGTTTCACCACTCTTCATAAGGTTTTCACTGGCCAATTCTTTGAGAAGTGGATGACCTCTTCCTTCTTCCAAGTGTGTCACAGTCTGGAAGCTCTGCTGAAACATGTCCACCATGGGTAACACTGTTGGCACTTGAAATACTGGTGGCATAGCCTCCAGCCTCACAGCAACACACAAGCCACCACAGGACAACTGACAGACGAATTTGTCTTCCTTCGCTGTTCCAAAATGCTGCACTCCCGTTTTCGGCCATCCCCTACCAGTCCTGGCCCTCCAAAAAGCCTTCTGCCCTTCATATATACTAGCGGTGAACAACTGGAAGTTGAATTTTTTAAAAACCCAATTTTCAGTGGCTACATAGGGTCTCTGAATCAGTATCGACTCGACAGCAACAGTTACGGGTTGTAAAAACGCCAGAACAACAGGGTGGCAATATGAAGGGCACATGCATACAGACCTGACAGTCACACGGACTGGGGCTGCCAGGCTGTGCCAGTCATGTGAGTCCCTACGTAATCTTATTGTGGGATAAGCACAGCTATATGCCTGCTGGCTGCCTTTGGCCAGCATCCTGGTTACAGGAGGTGGCTGCTTCCAGGCAGGGTTGCCCTGTGGGGAAACCAAGACCCAGCCTCCGGCTGTCCCCAGTGCTGGGCAGTCCGAGCTGGGACCCCCTCCAGCATTGGTGCAGGTTCCAGCAGCCAGCAGAGAAATGGCCAAACGTGAACCAGCAGTTCACGGAAAAGCAAAGGCCAGAGGCCCCTCCGTCTGCGGCAAGTGCACCTCTGTTCCTGAGCATCGGCTACCCAGCAGAGCGGCGTGGAAGCCCCTCCCACTCCTCGGCTAACCAGGTGCCCGACGTTCCTGCTCTGCTGTGAAAGCACAGAGTAGCCAGGGCCTTGACCCTGCCAGCTAGCACCTGGGCCACTGCAAATTGGTCCAACAGCTTCACCTGCACAAGTATGAATGACCCACGGGACGTGTAGTCACTGCAGTGTTGTCTGTAGTAGAAAAGGCCACTCAGAGGCCCCACCCACAGGGACTGGCTGAACAGATGGCAGCATCTCTCCCATCAGGCCCTGTCGTCACTTTGCTTGCGGGTGCTCTAAAGAGTGGAGAGAGGCTCCCTGATACAGAATGACTTCTAGGATGGGCGTGCTGCTACATGAAGAAGAGGAAAGCGCAGAGCTGTAGATGCAGGGCCCTTTAAGAAAAGAGTGGTAAGACTGTCTACATTAACTTATGTTTACGTAGGGAAGCATAGAAAAATGAGTGACATGATAAGGAGTCCTGGTGGTGCAGTGGTGATGTGTTTGGTTGATGACTGGAAGGTCAGTGGTTCAAACCCATCAGTGACTCCACAGGAGAAAAGACCTGGAAATCGGCCCCTAAAGACTGCAGCCCGGGAAACCCTACAGGGCGATTCTGCTCTGCCCTGTGTGGTCCCTGTGAGTCAGACAACACGGCAACAGCGCGCGATGACTCAACAACACACAACAAGGAAGTGATTCTGCTCTGCCCTGTGTGGTCCCTGTGAGTCGGACAACACAGCAACAGCAAGGGATGACTCAACAACACACAACAAGGAAATGGCTATGGCTGGTGGGCAGGAACAGGGTGGGAAGTCTGCCCAATCTCAATCTGACGGCATTTTGACTTTTGAACTTTTGTATCACAGCTTTCGGAATGTTTATGAAAAAGCGGATTGAAAACCTGAGGCGTTTCATGACCTCTGCAGGTTTCACTTCAACCCCGGATCTGGCAATATGTGTACTCTGCTTCTGGAAGTTTACCCTTGACACTGGGACATCTGACATGAGAACAGCTAGAAGGCTTGGAAAGATTTCCAACAATATGCCGTTTGTTGGAAAATGGAAAACATATATTTGGCTGGATTTGTGAAGAACAGTGAGCTCTTGTGGCCAATAACACAAGTCCCTACTTTGATGTTATGTTCCCAGGCTCCACCAGTTTTATGGCCCCAGACTGTTGGTAAAACTGGGTTTATAAACTTCCCAGCAGAGTTCTGCCTCTGCCTTCTGGTGGAGCCCCTGGTGGTATTTAGCACTCGTTAATGGTCCTGCAAAAGCTCACCCTTGTGTTCTGCTCCCTCCTTGGAAATGCGTGTGCGTCACCCTCAGTGGTCTGCTAGTCATTGTTCATTTTGTGTTTCCTATTTGCCCATAAATAACCCTTACATCCTGTCTGGAAGGGAGTGTAAGTGGGGCCCTCCCAGAACTCGGGGCAAGGCTGCCTCACCGTGCAAGCCTTTTGCTGCAGAAACTCAGGCCTGAGCCAGGCATCCATCCCAGTCCTGGCTCCATTGCCACCTTGCTTGCCAACCACGCCTGCGGTTGCTGGAGCAAATGTGCTCCGCTCCTTCCTCTCCTGGTGTGCGTTTCTCCCCCTCCCCTTCCCATTCACAACTGTGTTTCCTCCCAGGCCCCAGCACAGGGGACTGTGGTCAACAGCACTAGCGCCCAGTCAGAGTTGTTTTCAGGGGGTGTGTTGGGGGTGCTGGAGCCTGTTCAGGAAAAACATTCATAGTCACGTGTTTTCCTTTCTTCATGTCTTCACTCTGGCCTGAATATGTCATTCCGACAACTCGATCCAGGAGAAAACAAAACAGAGCAGAACAATGAGCCCAAGGCGTGCGAAGTGCTGCTGTGGGGGGTTGTCGGGCAGGCCCTCCTCTGTGCCCGTCTCTCCACACCTCTCCACTGAGGCTGGGCTGTGCAGGGCGCGTCACCTCTGGCGCTCAGAGCTCTTGTTTCCTCTTCCTACGATGGGGGTTGGCCTCCGTGCTCTTTTAACGTGAGGTTGGGGGCCGAGATCGTCAGTGTGCAGGGTGAGGTGGGGCCCGGCAGCTCCCACACGGGCAGGGAGGGGACTCCCGGCAAGCCTGTGTGTCGGCGAGGAGCGCTGTGCTTGGGTTTTCAGGGGCTGAGGGTTCTGAGGTAGACTGTCAGCGCTTCCTTCCAGGACACCTCTGGGTGGGCTCAAACCTGCAGCCTTCCACTTAGCCCTGACACGCCAGCCATCTGTACCAACCAACATATAATTGACTCCTGCTGACACCTGGAAATGCAGGCAGGCAGACGGAAAGCTGTGGTCACCATGCGCGTACCCTTGTCTTCACAGCCTCTCGTCAGAGCAGATGTTCCCATGTGCACTAACCACAGGCTCCAGTGGGAGGCGTGGTGCAGTTGTGATTCAGACACGACTTAGGTGCTACAAATTCAGAACGAGCAGCCACCCTCTGGCATGGTTTAAGGGACTTCACTGTGTGTGGCTTGGGCTTGTCTTACCTGCCCAGGGTCTCAGTACCACAGTGGCTGGGCTGCTGACTGAAGGTCTCTCCTAGCCCCTTGCAGGGAAGTCAGCAGGCAGAGCCTCTCAGTTCGAGTGTCAGCCCCCATACAATGAGCAGTGTCTCCCACACACTGCTGGAAAGGACGACCCTGACTACCCTGCACCCCAAGCACTCCCCGCCCGACCCCGGCTGCTGCACCTGGCACGCTGCAGGTGGCTCGGGAAGCCCTGTGGAGACGCCCCCATGCTGTGGAGCAGGGCTGGGCAGGGGCTGCGGTGGGCCTCCAGATGCGGTGTGTGTGCCCATCATTCCAGACAAAACCCTGAGATGGCTCCTGTAGGGCCGGCCCAAGGAAGCCCAGGGGCTTCAGCGCCAGCAACTTCCTGGCCAGGAAAGCAGGTGGAGAGGGGCATAGCCATGGGAGGGCCACGGTGGACAGGTGGGCCAGGTAGGGGCAAGTAGCCATGGGTGCAGTTTCTCATGTGTCACTGAGACCCCAGCCTTTCCCCCACAGCCAAGGAAAATGTGTGTCAGCCCCACACCCCCGAGCGGAAGTTGGGCCTGAGAGGAGAAGTGAGGGAGCCACACTCGTTCACACATCACCAGGTGCTGCACTCACGCGTCCTCTCTGTCTCCCTTTGCAGTCATGCCAAGCCGACCTCGTGAAGGACAACGGGCACAAGTACTTCCTGTCGGTCTTAGCAGACCCCTACATGCCGGTGAGGACAACATGCTGTTTCTCTCCAGGTGGCTCGAGACTGGTGTTGTTTATCTTTGCTGCCGTGTCCCACTGTTGGGATGCCGCTTCACGAGGGCTTCCAGGGCTCTTCTCACCCCTCGCTCCTCAGGGCCCAAAGGGGCCCGAACGGGAGCTGGCAAGCTGGGGCAGGGCTGGGTCGCCTGATGAGCAGGTCTCCACGGGCTTCGTTGTGTTTGCTTCCTAGTCCGTAGTGCACACGGCTGTGGGTGATGTCCTGCACTATGGGTTTACGAAGTAAACACAGCGAAGCCGGTGCGTACTCACATCCTGTCAGCCAGCGCTGCTGTGCTTGCCAGCTGACATGTGCGTTAGCCGTGGTCACGTATCATCCCTGCAGCCCCTGCTCGTCTCCGTAAGAGGTGCCTCGTGCAGCATGTGGGTTGGTTTGGTTTGGTGCGTGTCAGTCTTTTCTCGGGCACATCTTTGCAGTGGGGTAAAGCTGCTGTCCTAGCAGGCTGTCCTCTGGAGGAGATTAGCGAGGGCTTTTCCGTCCGTCAACCCATCATTCGTGTTCCTCCGAAGATCCTTGTGAGTCCCGGAGGGAGACAGGAGACAGATGGGTGATGGCTTCAGTTGTCAACATATCTGATTGTATCTGACTGTTTAAGGTCTACTAGTTTGTGACTAGCCTTTATGGTATATTTCTATAATTGTTTTATAATTAAGGCCATTGTTCCCACTTCTAGCTTCTGGCATAGTAATGAGAGCGGAGCAGAAGTGCAGAATAATTCTTAATAACGGACGTTAATGTACCAGCCCATTCAGCAAGTGTAACAGTCCTTCACTTCACCTTGGGTGGCCTTGGTTGCCACCTCTAGAGGATTCTACCCTTTAGTTGGTTTTCAAAATAAAATTGTGTAAACAGGTCTGTTACGTAGGGAATAAGAGGGGACCAGTACTTACGTGCTTCCCTGACATGATGTCTGTAAACATCCCAAGCAGTCACGGTGAGGCACTGCATGTCAGTCCAGGAAATCCTCACTGCCCTGTTGCTCAGGGTGAGTCAGAATGCAGGCCAAATTCGAAAGGGAGCTGAGCTGGCGAGGGCAGCCCACCTCAGCCACACACACTGGCAATGCAGCAGACAGGCAGGCTGAGCCAGTGAGAAGAGTCCACCTTAGCCACAGACACAGATGCCAGAAAATGAAGAGCACAAGGAGAGGGAGCTGCCGTGAGCAGTGCCGATGTCCTGGTGGTCCCGAGGGTCCCATGCTGGGTGCTGCCGTGTGTGAGAGTTGGAAGTCCAGAGAGTGACCTGAAAATTGGTCCAGAGTCCTGGAAACCCCCTGGGATCCTGAGAAGCAAGTCCAGGAGAGAGTGAAGCAGCCGCACCGTCCAGGGCACAGGACTCACCCCGACCCCAGCCTTGCCCATGGTGGCCGTCAGGTACCAGCCATTCAATTCTGACTCATGACAACCCCGCGTGACAGAGTGGAACTACCCTGTAGGGTTCCCTACGCTGTCATCTGTATGGGAGCAAGTCACAGGCCTTCCTCCCACAGAGCTGCTCGGTGGGTTCAAACCACCAGCCTTTCAGCCCACAGCCGAGCACTTAAACACTGCATCACCAGAGCTCCTTCATCCCTGCCTACCGGTCCACGACCAGTGGGCCTCCTGGAAGGTAACAGGCAGATCCAACAGCTAGAGTTGGCTCCTAAGAACTGAAACTAATGGGTTATATGAAAGAGACTAAAATCCATCAAAATACATTCAAAATAAAGGGTCACAGCAAATTGCTTTGTTCCATCAAATAATAAATCACTGCACTTTTTTGAGAAATGCTTTGTGCCTGTTATAAGAAAACAGTATAATCTGTTATTTTTTTTTTTTACCTATTTCCAAAAATTATAAAATAGGTGAAAGAGTTTTTAATAAATGGGTAAATTTGAGAAAGAAAAGAATAGTCCCTGTCTTGGGAGAAATAGTCAGTGTTGAAGAACTCAGTGGAGGAAGTTAAACAGTAGAATAGAGACAGTGATAAAGAGACTGTGCAAAAATGTCACCTGGAGAGAAGCCAGAGCAGAGATCTAAAGAGAGGCGGGGACGGGACGACGGGAAGGTTTGCCACAGTAATGGGAGTTACAGACGAGAGAGTGGAGAGGGACAGCATTTGAAGAGACAGTGACTTAGAACTGGCCACATTTGAAGAAAGAGTGACTTTCCAACTTTCAAAATCTCAGTACATCTGAAGGTTAAATAAAAACCTACCCACAAAGAGACACATTATAATGAAAGTAGAGAATATCAAAGAACAGTCCTAAAATTACTCAGAAAAATCGTTTTCAAAGGAGTCAGTAATAGGTAAAGAGCTCTCGTGGCATGGTAGGTAAGGCATTTGGCTGCTAACCAGAAGGTCTGTGGTTCAAACCCACCAGCTGCTGCACAGGAGGAAGATCAGGCAATCTACTTCCAAAAAGATTTACAGCCTTGGAAACCCAATGGGGATCACCATGAGTTGGAATCGACTCAATGGCAGTGGGTTTTGGGGGTTTAAGTAACAATTAGACAGCAGACTTCTTACCAGCAACAACAGACAACTAGAGGCAGTGAGAGCCCTTCAAAGTACAGTAGGAAAGTGACTGTCAGCCTGGAATTCTACACCGCACTGGATTCTGACTCAAGAACGAGGGCGAAGTAAAGTTGTCCTGGCAGACTGGCAGCATGGCTCTCTGACCCCACAGAGCATAGCCATAAGGATTGCACTTTGCAGGATGAAGGGGAGGAATTCAACCCAGAGGAACAAGTCAGATACAGGAAGCAAGGGTGAGTGAAGAAACTGGCAAACATGTTGACACGTCAGAAAAGGCGCCATCCTTAGCTCAAGGGGTTACCCCATGAGCGTCATCAAGGCCTCCGAGAGCCCGCATCAAGGCCTCTGAGATCCCACATCAATCTGAGGGGATGCAGCAATGCGCGTGCAAAAGCATAGGCCCCACTGAAGGGTTAAAGATGAGCTGTCTGGTTTCCGGACACAGGCACAGAGGAAAGGGAAGCCTGGGAATGGGTGACTCCAACGCAAGAGCGGAAAAACAAAGCTAGGTCAGAATGCTGAGTTCACGAGTCCTACCATCAGAGTAGAAGGAAGGTGGGGCAATCTACTTCCTTACTGATACTGCCTCGGAAACCCAAGGAGGGGTCGCTGTGAGTCGGGTCTGACTCCATGGCACATAACAACAACAACAAACCATCAGAGTGGGAGCTCTGGTGGCATAGTGCCTAAGCCACTTGACTGCTAACCAGAAGGCTGGCTGTTCAAACCCACCAGTCACTCCTCAGAAGGAAGGTTGGGCAATCTACTTCTGTAGTGATACCACCTCGGAAACCCAAGGAGGGGCCGCTATGAGTCAGATCTGACTCCACGGCATTGAGTTTGGTTTTGTTTTTACCATCAGACTAGCCGGTGAGGAGCAGGCTCTTCACCTGAGAGTCCAGCCTGAAGCCCAGGCTCTTTCCAAGAAGACCCTTCTCTTTTGTAGACTGAAATCAAAAGAGGGCGATGAAGCCGGTTCTCGGTACTTTAACTGTGTGTCACACTTAAGAAAGGTCCATAAGGAGAACTTTGTCATACTCTGGGAATGGTCTGTCTCTTCCACGGGAAGATGCAGAACTATGGGCCGTGTGTTCTTGCAGGCTGAGCATCGGACCATGACGGCCTTCATCTTGGCTGTGATCGTCAACAGCTACAACACAGGGCAGGTGAGTGTCAGCAGCTACCCCCAGGCGCCCGAACCCTTTCTCTGATGCCACAAAGCGGGGGCAGCTCCCAGGCGCCCGCACTCTTCGCCTGCTGTTCCAAAGCTTGCTTGCAGTCAGGGCAGCCCCAAGCTTAGGTACTTGGAGATCCAAGGGAAGTTTTGTTCTCAGTGTGTGGTAAGCAGACAACAGAAAACAGGGCTGGCAGGAGCACCCAGCACCGTGATGCCAAGCAGCAGCACCGTGCTCAGTGGGGTCTGGACCCTCACTGAGCCTGGAATTTGCAGGGCGGCCTTGTTGCTGACTTTGTTTCTGTTGCTGATTTATGACATAGCAGACCCCACAGGTTAACAGAATAGAACTGCTCCGTCGGGTTTTCTGGGCTAATCTCTAGAGAAGCCGACGGCCAGGCCTTTCTTCCACAGTGTCTCTGGGTAGGTTTGAACCACCAACCTTCTGGTCACCAGCCAAGTGCAAGCCATTTACACCACCCAGGGATCTTTGCAGGGAAGGTGTGAATCAGCAGTTTGTACAGTGGGAAGCCCGGGCGGGCCCTGTGCCGCAGTCCAGCAAGGGTTCCCCGAGGGGCAGTGGCAGCTGTGGTCCTGGCCCTTGGTCAGCGGGGCCGCTTGTCTGTTGCCTCTTGCAGGAAGCTTGCCTTCAGGGAAACCTGATCGCCATCTGCCTGGAGCAGCTCAATGACCCACACCCCCTTCTGCGCCAGTGGGTGGCCATCTGCCTGGGGCGTATCTGGCAGAACTTCGACTCGGCGAGGTGGTGCGGCGTTCGGGACAGTGCACATGAGAAACTCTGCAGCCTCCTCTCAGACCCCATCCCTGAGGTGAGCCTGACCCACGGCAGCCTAGAGGCCTGTGGTGTTCCCCAGACATTCTCACGGAAGGATCATGGCATCCCGCACATGCAGGCAAGCTGCTGCATTACCACCTCCATGGGAATAACAAGAGCAGAGCCAACCGGCCCCCATCGTCCGCTTAACCAAGAGTTAATGCACGTGCTCAGTGGAGGCTCCAAGCAGGGGTCCCTGATAGTGTCTCAGGAGTCAGAGGTCACACATACCTGAGCTCACTGCCCACCGGGCGCCCCTAAGCGTGCTCACCGCTCACCGGGTGCCCCTGAGCACTACCTGTCAGCTCTCTGTCCACTCTCCTTACCCCTCACGTGCCAGGAGCACCTGCCGCCCATCCAGCTGGCCCACTGGGTGCATGCACCTTGGCCTTGGGCGGAACTGCCGGGGTCAGCCAATAAACTGGCTCAGCTGGGGCAGCACCGGGCAGGCCTGTGCTTGGTGTCAGCTCCCGGCCGCTCTCCTCCCAACCCCCTGCCGTGCTCCTGAGGTGTCTGTGCACACACGTCACCTACACTGCAGCTTGTCTCAGGCCTGCCAGGGTTCAGGTCCCAGCTGTGAGCACAGCGGTGCACACTCTCCCCGCCCCGCCCCAGGTGGCCTGGTCAGCAGGATGAGCCCTGTTCCCCACCAGCCTCCACTCACAGTAGTTGACCTCAGGCGGGTCCTCCCTCCGTGCTGGCAGACCATCAGTGGTACCCAGAACCAGCTGTAGTCCTCTGCTGGCCCCAGACCGGCTCAGTGAGGCCTGCTGTCCTGGGAGAGGCAGGCAGAGGCTATCCCTTGAGAAGCCCCATCCAGAGGAGCTTTATTGAGGTCTTCGGGGCTGGGAACTGCCGGGTCCCCAGCCTGTTCCCACACACTGGGTCAACCCATGTGGCTGGGTCAGCCTAGGTCAACCCTTGTGATTCACGGGCTCTGGCACCGAGTGAGATCTGCCCTTTGGTGTTGGGTGGACTCTGCCATGCACACCTTAATCTTGTCTTCCTAGCCACCACCAGCCTGATTGTACAGAGGGGACCCACAGGCCCCACAGAGCTCCAGAGGTGGTGGCAGGGCTGCAGCCACACCCTGGGCCCCCAACCTAGCCGTGCGTGGCCCCAGCTGCCTCACCACCGCCACTGCCACCCCCATCAGAGGCCCTGCTGGTGTTCACCCAGCACCACGCCTCATGCCCTCACTGTCTTCCTGGCTCCACAGCCCAGGCCCCTTGCCCTCAGCCCTGGGCCCACCCTCCCTGGCTCCTGTCACTGTCCCATAAACTACAGCTGTGAACTGCAGTGCCTTAGTGGGTGCATACTTCCACAGGGGACACAATTCCGCCTCCACAGCCTGACCATCTGTCCCCTGGGCTGGGGCCACACTGCCTCCCTCTCTCGGGCCCCCTGTCTTCCCGGCTCCTCTGCTCCACTAGCTCCACCAGCCCTTTGGGCCCAAGGTCCTGTTGCATGAGGAGCTGAGGCACTAGGAGGCGTGCTGTACACACCTGGACTGAGTTCCAAGTACCAGATCCGTCACCCTGTGACTGACCGTGCACCCTCTGCAGGTCTGAGCAGGGGTCCCTGATTGTGTCTCGGGAGTCCGAGGTCATGCATACCTGCATTTACCACCCTCTGGGCGCCTCTGAGCACGCTCAGTGTTCTTGTGAGGCAGCTCTATAGGACCCAAGTACCAGATCCGTCACCCTGTGACTGACCGTGCAGCCCGGCCCTCCACAGGTCCGCTGCGCTGCTGTCTTTGCCCTGGGCACATTCGTGGGCAACTCTGCTGAGAGGACCGACCACTCCACCACCATCGACCACAACGTGGCCATGATGCTGGCCCAGCTCATCCATGATGGGAGCCCCATGCTACGGAAGGTGAGCTATTGCCCACCAGCCCAGCCCATGCTACCCACAATGCACAGCCGCCCTGCAATCAGAGCAGGCGTTCTGGCCAGCCGTGCTGTATGAGGCACGTGGGCACCCCTGTAGACCTAACAGGCACCCGCCAGCCCACCCACGCTGCTCAAGGTAGGTGGCCGCCCCCGTAGACCGCGCCTGTCCCTAGCTGCTCAACCTGTGCCCTGCAGCAGTGACAAGGCAGCCCACCTGTCTGCGTGTACCACTGTGCACGTACCGATGAACATCTGCCTCCCTTTCCAAACCATACTTCTTCCCGAGGTACTTAGTGTGTGCTCATCTGAGGGGAATCCGTGACAGACTGCTTCATGGAAGGGCGTTAACAGGCTGTGTCTCCTGGCAGCTTGTGGAATAGGCAAAACACAGGCACATCTTCCAGGTTCCAGAGAGCAGAGACACCGGCAGACGCAGGTTTGGGTGACTGCACCTTTCCCCAGCCCATGTCCCTCAGCAGCACACGAAACTGATGGTGCCGCTGCCGAGGGTGTAGACGTATCACGAGCTATCGTCCGAGACGTCACAGCCCTGTGAAGCGGGCTCGACACAAGCCTGACCCCCACCCCTGTCCCAGCCAGGGGCGCCTGGGGAAAGCGCACTGGCCTGCTGACTGCAGTCAGGATGAAGTGAACAGGCTGCTCTGGGAACCGACTGTCTCCTGAGGTGGCAGGGGGATAGGATTGACAGGGAGGTGACCCATCCGGAGGTGAGGGGCTGCTGCCTCGCCACTGCTGGGGAAGGCCTCCCTCTGCCCAGGGGTTTTTCTGGAGACACGGTGTAGCAGGGGGTATCTGGCGAGTGCTCACCACTGATCTCCTTGGGAGTGACGTGACCTGAGGCACCTACGTCAGCGAGACTCCAAAAGTAGACAGGCGGTCTGTCATGGTTCCCCTCAGATGGGCACACCCTGAGGTGTAGGCTGGGTTTCCCTGGGAAGTCACTGAAGGTGAAGCGAGTGCCCGGCGCGCCTTCCTCGGTGCTGACTCCGTTAGCTCTGCGTTCCCTTCAGCAGCGGCACGTCTGACTCTGACTCACAGCGCTCCCATGGGGGCTCCGTAGGGCTTTCCACGCTCCCACAAGCCTTGGCTTTCTGCTAAAACAAAAAGAAGCAGAGACAGTGGTCTGAACCACTCGGATAATAATGGGAAACCATTGGGAGTGTAGTGTCTATAAACCTTCCATCCAGTCTCGTCTCCGGATGGCATTGGGTCTCCAGGTGCAGGTGTTAGAGCCCTAACCACCCTGGAGTAGAGGGAACAGAGGTGACTGGGCCTAAGACTGTGCTTAGTTCGAGAACTTTCCTGCTCCCTTTTAGGGACTGGAAGCATTTTGCCTCACTGCTTGTCAGATGTATTCTACTTCATATGCTCAGAATTCAGAACAGCCCCCTGTCCTGCCAGGTCTGATCCAGAGAGGCATCTCAGCCTGGTCACTGTCCACTGTGACCCTTGCCCACCCACAGGGGTGTAAGTCACACTCCTGTCCTAAAAGCCCCGAGGGGTCCTGGCACATGTTCTGGAACATTCCTGAGGTTCTTGGTACACCAACGGCCTGCGATCTTGAGCTCTCTGCCCATCCAGGGGCATCCTCCCGCCATGCGCACCCATGAGTGCTCAGTGGGACAGTACCGAGTGCACAGACTCATCTTAACATTTCGTCATCACACTGCTGACTCAGGCGACAGGCATTAACTTCCACTCTCATGACTCCCACGGTCACTTTGCAGCCCCTGGGAAGTATAAACCCCTCTTTGTCTCGGCAGGAACTGGTCGTGGCACTGAGTCATCTCGTGGTCCAGTATGAGAGCAATTTCTGCACCGTTGCCTTGCAGTTCATGGAGGAGGAGAAGAACTACCCCCTGCCCTCCCCAGCGGCCACAGGTACAGCTTCTGTGTCTGCAGGCCTATGCCAGGATAGTCTGTATGACCCCTTAGAATTTCTGGAAGTTCCTTCCCAGTTACCAGGGATGGAAGGGAAGGAGGCACATTTCTGTTAAGGGTGGAAACAACCAAACGTCCCTCAGCAGATGGTGGATAAACAGAAGTGGTCCGTCTGTACGGCAGCTTATTGCCCAGCCGTAAGTCCTGACACATACCAGTGGGATGATCCGTGACAACATGCTGCTGAGTGAAAGAAGCCAGACACAGGACAAGTACCCTCGGATCCCACTTAGAGGAGATACCCAGGGAAGCAAATGCCCAGAGACAAAGTTATCAGTGGTCACTGGGGGTGGGGGTAGGGGCCATGGTTCAGGGTGCAGACCCCTTTGCTGGGTTTGATAATTCAGTGCAGTGACCACACAGAACTCACAGATTATGGGGTTTATTAGGGAAGAAACAGGCTACAACTCAAGTTCAGAAATCCACTCAGTTTCTTGCAGCCCGCCATCTCTCAGCTGACAGTCTCTCTCAGCAGCATGTCTTTCTCAGCCAGCAGTCAGAGAGAGACTCCTTCTGCCTCTAGAAGGCCTCCTTTTGAGCCTGGCAGAGTGGGCAAACTAACCAATCCCAACATCAGAATTCTATATACCTGAGAGAGCCAACTTCCCAGAACCTTGCTTCGTGCTGATTCACACATATTCAGAAATACTCCAGGTGGATAACTTTAGCAATCAGGAGCTACTCAGTTGCTCATGACAAATTCCACCACGGAGTTTACAAAGACTTATGGCTAGAAAAGCCACACTATGTAATTTACTACACTGCAACCACAAACGTGGCTTGGGGTACCGTGTGCCTCCTCATTCCACCTAGTCACTGCTCCTTGTCCAGCTCTGTCTGCTGAGCCCTGCAGTGTGAGCTCGCCTGACTTGAGGCCCCTTTTCTGCAGTCACTCCCATCCTGACCACTCCTGTCACTCACTGAGCTGCAGCCACAAGAGGTGTGCTGCCTCCAGCCCCCCATTATCTGCTCTCTTCTTTCTTCTTTCCCTCTAGAGGGGGGCAGCTTGACCCCCGTGCGGGACAGCCCATGCACCCCCAGACTCCGCTCTGTGAGCTCCTACGGAAATATCCGCGCTGTCACCGCAGCCAGGAGCTTGAACAAATCTCTGCAGAACCTGAGCTTGACCGAGGAATGTAAGACAGCCCGTGAGCGGTCACTGTGGTCTGGAGGCATGGGGGTCCCTCCTGAAACCTGCCATGCCACCCCACACTACCCCTACCTGGTAGCAACTCTGAAGTCCTCCTTCCAGGTGTGGGTGCGGCTCAGCGCCCAGACTGCCATACCCACACCAGACATGAGTGCTCTGGTCCTGTAAGAGCTGCAGCCCGTCCCCCGGACCTGCTGTCTCTGTGGAAACTGTTCAACTCCCAGGGAGACCAGTGAGCGTGTGCACACATGAGAGTCTATGTGTGAGCATGCATGTGTGGGGGTATGTGCGTGTATGTGAGTATGCGTGTATGTGTGAGTTTGTGCATGTGTGTTTGTATGTGCGTGTACACGTGTGTGTGAATGTTAGTCTGTGTCTATTTTCTGGGGAAAATGCGTGTTTCCATCTTGGCTGGTCACTGTAACATGCAGCAGTGGCCTCTGGTCCCTGACTGTCCCCATCATGTCCCCGCAGCTGGCAGTTCTGTGGCATTCTCACCTGGGAACCTCAGCGCCAGCAGCAGCGCCAGCAGCACCCTGGGCAGCCCCGAGAATGAGGAATACATCCTCTCCTTCGAGACCATCGACAAGATGCGGCGTGTCAGCTCCTACTCCTCCCTCAACTCGCTCATAGGTGAGTCCTCCACGTGCTTATGAGCATGGTCTCAAGCCCAGAGCACTCACCACCCACACGGCGTGAGCTGAGGTGGTCAGGTAACGGCATGGGCACCGCACCTCAACTCGCTCATAGGTGAGTCTCCATCCACTCCTGGCCGTGGTCTCAGGCCCAGAGCCCTCACCACCCATACAGCCCAAGCTGAGGTAGTCAGGTAATGGCACTGGTACTGCCCCCTGAACTCACTCATAGGTGAGTCCTCCACATGCTCCTGGCCATGGTCTCAGGCCCAGAGCCCTCACCACCCACACAGCACAAGCTGAGGTAGTCAGGTAACAGTGCGGGCACCTCTCACTTGGGAAAGATGGCATCAGCTTAGCTGGAAGCACCTTAGGAGGTGGAGGACGCTTCATGAGAAAGGTGTGGTGGTTTCCATCACCTGTTTGTAGACGTGCTGTTCGGAGGCGGCCCCAGGGATCCTGGGCTAGGCAGAAAGGCCGCCCAGCCCGTTGGTCTGTCTGCCAGACACAGGAGCTCTGGGTGGACCATGAGCTCTGGGCAGTGTAGAGCAGTGGTCTCACCCAGGGGCAGTTCTGCCCCAGGAGACATTTGGCAATGTCTGGAGACATTTGGTTGTCACAGTGGGGAGTTACTGTAGTGCCTAAGGCATTTGACTGCTAACCAGAAGGCTGATGGTTCAAACCCATCAGCCACTCCTTGGAAGGAAGGTTGGGCAATCTGCTTCCATAGTGATACCGCCTCGGAAACCCAAGGAGGGGTTGCTATGAGTTGGGTCTGACTTAACGGCACATAACAACACCAGTGGGTGGAGAACAGAGATGCTCCTCAACGCCCTGCAATGCACAGGATGGCTCCTGGCAGAGAGCGTGACCCATCCCCACATGGCCCTGAGAAACCCTGAGTGGTCTCACGTGACCTGCATCCCTGGAATCTTGCTCTCTTACCCACTTAATGGCATTCGCCCCATGGCCGTGTGAATTCCATCCATTCACCTCACACCTGAGGAGTGTGATACGTTTCTCAAGTCGCCACGACCTCATTTCCTGTTCTTTCTTGAGGGGCAAGTCAGCCATTCCCCACTTTCCTCTTTCCACAAGCCCACTAAGGGTTTGGCCCCACCTCTCTGGATCCCATCTCTGACCTTGCCCCTCGCTGACAGCACCCCAGCTCTGCCGGCTCCTTGGCCTGACCACCCGTCAAAATGCCAGCACCACCACCTGCTCTGCCTGCAAAGCCCTCCTCCCACGTTTCCTGGCTGCTCCCTTGGAACTCAGGACTCACTGTTACGAGAAGCTCAGCCTGAGCATCCTCTTTCCTTGAGTATCCTCTGTCCCCTCTTCTGCTTTGTGTCCCCTCCAAGAACTCTTCTCGACTCATTGTACGTTAACACGTGTGTTTGTTCTGGTTCTGTCCCGCTCCACTGGAGTGGAAGAACCACGAGGGCAGAGCTTTGCTTTGTCAACTACAAGGCCCCCGGACCCCTGCCCACACTCAGGGCCAAGGACACAGTAGGTGCTCAATAAACCCAGCTGACAGAGGTGCAGTGACCATCCTCCAGCACGAGCCCACACAAGTGGCTCCGGCAGGTACAGCTGGGAGTAACACTGCTGCATAGCAGGGGCATGTGCCCTGCTCTTCACTGGGCATCACCATGGGGCCCTCGCAGGCACTGGCCAGTCTGTTCTGAGACCTGCCAGTGCCTGCTGCTCCATCTAGTGACCAGACAGGAGTTCCTACCCTGTCTCGCTTCTGGCCCCGCCTCCCCATTGCCCTCAACATCCAGTGCACACGGGCGCGGCTGCCGCCGCTGGAGCTGCTGAGCTCTGTCCTCAGCTTGCCGTCTTCTCAGAGCTGTCTTCGCGCTCTCTTAGCCCTTTTTCTCTGCTCAGTAAGCGTCCCTGTCAGCTTCCCTGCTTCCACAGTGCCCGTGTCGGGACTGGGTTCGGAATCGCACTGAATTGATGGATTCATTACTTCTTTACGGCATTGTGCCTCCCGTCCCTGAACGTGGTTGTCTTCTGTGTATTTTGGCCCACGTCACTGTCTGTCGATACACTTGCAGAGACCTCTGCGTGAAGGCCACAGCATTTCAGATTCCTTTGAGGTGCAGCTGCGCGTTGCCGCCCAGTCTGCTTGGCCTCTTGGCAGCCCCGTGCGACAGAACAAAGCACCACTCAGCCCACACCATCCTCTGATCACTGGGTGCCTGAGCCCCCCGTGGCCTCCCAGCCTCCCTGCCAGCACTGCACAGTCGATGTTCTGTTGGGCCTCATGGCAGAGTTGGCTGGTCCATGGGAAGTTCACCAGGTCTTCCTCCCTGGTCTGTCTCAGTCTGGAAGCCCCACTGAAGCCTGTTCATCATGCGGGACCTGCTGGGATGTGGAATTCCAGTGGCATGGCTTCCAGCCTCACGGCAACACGCCAGCCCCCACAGGACAACACTGGCAGATGAGTGGTAGAATTTGAGGTGCAGCTGTCCCTCGGTATCTGGGGATTGGTTCTAGGACCCCTGCAGATACCGGAATCCATGATGCTCAGGTCCCTCGTATACAATGGCATAGCACCTGCATATAACCTACAAACATCCTCCCATGTGCTTCGGGTCATCTCTAGATGACATATAATACCTGACGCCACGTCGGTGCCGTGTAAATGGCTCTTTACCCTCCCTCTCAGACTTTGACGGATCACGTTGACCACTTAACTGCTTTTTGTTTTTTCCTGAATATTTTCAATCCATGGTTGATTGAATCCATAGATACAGAACCCATGGACACGGAGGGTGGATTGTACCTTATACTTTTTGTAATTATGCTGATACCTGTTTTGTTTTCCAACCATTTGTTGCTGTAAAGAGGAATGCAGGTGACATTTTAATTTTATTTCTGACAGTAAAGGAAATACCTTTCAGTGTGGCACGTGCTGTCCTTCCTCTGGTGGATACTTCGCTGGTTTGTAGAGCCCTCCTTCCGCTACAGTTGGTTCAGACCGTCTGTCTTTCGTAAATGGAAGTTTCCATTCCATTCCAGGTGGTGAAGATGTTTTTTTATTGATCATTTCTTCTCCATCTGTCGTGAGGGTCACCTGGCTCTGCCTCTTCATCATCGGAGTAGATCGTGGATTACGTCGTTAAGGTTTCCCTTCATTGTTAGATAAGCCCGACAATTCTCTCTAACGTTGTTGGATGAAGTTTGCTAATGCTTTATTTAGAATGTCTCCTATCTATATTCATGAATAGATTGGGCCAACAATTTTTCTTTCTTCTACGGCCCTCATAAAATCAGTTAGGGAGTATGCCCTTGTTTCCTGGAACAATTTGTATAAGACTCTCTGTTCTTGGCCGGTCTGGGAAGAGTTTTCTGTGAAACTCTCGGGGCTTCATGGGGTTTTCTGTGGCCAGGCATTGGCTCCTGGTTCTGCTTCTTAATCGTTACGGGATTACTCAGGTTGTCCGTTTCTTCTTCAATCAGCCTTGATAAGTTAGATTTTCTGGAGCACCGTCTATCTCAGCTGTGAAAGGGTGTGGGGGACATCTGACCGCCTCTGACTTCTCAAGGGGGAGGAGGACCTAGATCAGCATCCACAGCCCAAGGCTGATTCCTGTGAGGTGCAGGTCAGCCATGCCTCCGCCCTCCAACCTGTTTACCACCTCTGACACCAACCGTCCCTCCCACGATACTCCACTCCTCTGCCGGGTTTGGTGATTTGTTGCGGTGGCCACACAGAACTCACAGACGTGCTCATGAGGATGGGGCTTATTAGGGAAGTAACAGGTAACAGTTCAGGAGCCGAAACGACTCAGGATGCAGTTCTTTGACCAGGAGGGCCTCTTCTCAGCTGTGCTGCAGACGCGCCTCTCTCTGGCCTCGGCCTCTGCCCTGCTTGGGCCGGTGTTACACAGCTCTTTCAGCTCCACCGATGGGTGCCCAGAGAGGCACCGCACTCCTCCAGCAAGCTCCTACTTGAAGGCGCTCAGCTGCTCCCCCTGCAGGCAGGGAGGCCCACTACTGTCTCTGGGTTCTGCTGCCACCATTTCTCTGCAGCTACTTTTCATAGGAGCCCTGGTAGCATAGTGCCTAAGGCACTTGACTGCTCACCAGAAGGCTGGCGGTTCAAACCCACCAGCCACTCCTCGGAAGGAAGGTTGGGCAATCTACTTCCATAGTGATACTGCCTCGGAAACCCAAGGAGGGGTTGCTATGAGTTGGGGCCAACTCAACGGCAAACAACAACAACTTTTCATCATCTCTCACCATTTCTGGTATCACAGCTTTCTGTCCCCTGCATTGAGGAGGTCAGCACAGGGATCTTGGTCCAAAGGACATCCTCCACTACTGGCCCTTGTTTCTTGCTGGTCTCTGGAAGGGCTCACTTTGAGCCCAGCAGGATGGCAGAACTGACCAGCTCCCACATTACAGTTCCATCCACTTTATCTGCCTGGTCCACCACTCCTCTGTCGTTTTGTCACACTGTGGTGGCTTGCGTGTTGCCGTGAGGCTGGGGGGTATGCCACCAGTATTTGGAGTACCAGTGGGGTGACGCCCAGTGGAACTTTTCCGCAGAGCTTCCAGATTAAGATAGACTGGGAAGAAGGAGGAGACCAGCCACTTCTCAAGGAACTGGCCAGTGCGGACCTATGAATAGCAGTGAGGCACTGTCTGATACAGCGCTGGGAGACTCTCTGAGGATCCCTGAAACGTTGTCTGGAGAGGGGATTCTGCTTACCAGACACAACACATGCATGCACACTCATAGACACACGCGCACGTGCATACGCACATACGAATGCACACATCTACACACATACGCACCCACGTGCACACACGTACATACACATGCATGTACACATCCGCACACATGCAATGCACATGCACACACAGACATGCACACACATTTGTAATCATGCACATGCATACACCCACACACTTACATACATGCGGTCATGCACATACACACATACCACATGGCTCAGCACAGAAATAGAGATTTGTCAGTTTACACTGGGCAGTGACACTGCTGTTGGGTGGGTATGCTTGGTCACGAGGTCCTGAGTATATTTCAGGCATCTGGAAAGGACAGAGTTGGCCCTCCATGTATAACCAAGGATGAACGCAGGTACTCCTAACTCACCAGTAAAAGATGCTCCCTGTGTCCTTGGCTGAGTCTTGGGCTATATAGCAGGCTATGGCCTCTGCTCTCTAAAGCTGACCCTTTAGACGCTGGGGCTGTGGTCCCAGTGAGGGGTGATGCGGTGGCAAGCAGGGTGGGGTGGACGCTCTTGGAAGCGCAACGAGCAGGGTTGGGAGGCTTCCTGTGGAAACGGGTCACCAGGTCTTTCTCCTGCAGGGCCACTGGCTGAGTTCAAACCACTTTCCTTTTGGTTAGCAGCCAATCACAAAATGCTTGCCCACAGGGGCCTTTCGCTGAGTTGGACCCTCGGTCGGTGGTGCTGCCCTTTGTGCGCACGCCTTCCCGGGGGTGTGTGCTGATGTCGTCTGTTCACCTCTGCTGCTATCACACGGCACTCAAGTCTGCTCGTCAGGCGAGGGGCCAGAGCCTCTAGAGCAAAGGTTGTGTCACACACCGTTGTGGTTTCCTGGAGCCAGGACAGTAGCGACATGGTGCGTGTACTGGCAGAGCTCAGGGAGTCTCACAGGCGCAGACGCACACCATGAATACGGAATGACGCGTGTGTGGGAGGCTTTCATCCAAGGCATGCCGCAGGCTGGCGGTCATAACCGCTCTTAGAAATCTGGGCGATAAAGTCGGGTGTGGCTATCGGAGCTAGTACTCACTCTCACACGACAAGGACGTTCAGCCAAGACCCAGTTACCCTCGCAAAGGGTCAGCCTCAGAAGATGATGTGAGTGTCACCCAACCCGGCTCTCTGCTGCAATTCCCGAGTCTCTGAAGGGCCTGTTACCACGATAACAAAACCTCGGAAATACCTCGTAACCCCGGCTCCTGGAGGCCTCATTTCCTGAAAACACGGCTGAGTTGTCAGCCGACAGAACTACATCCGAAACCACCAAAATGTGAAGTGGCAGCTACTTGCTACTGAAACATCTCTTCTTTTTCTTTCCTAGGAGTTTCTTTTAATAGTGTTTACACTCAGATTTGGAGAGTCTTACTGCATCTGGCTGCCGACCCCTATCCAGACGTGTCTGACTTGGCCATGAAGGTGCTCAACAGCATCGCCTACAAGGTACATGTGACGGGCTTCTCGCCTGCACTCAGATGGCTGGTTTCCATCATGAGTGTTCAAGGAGGGACTCCAGTACGTGCATGTCTGTGCCATGGTGTGAACAATCAGTAAAGGAAACCAACTTCGGACAGTTTTAATCCAAGGACATAGGGTGCACTCTGAGCTCTGTTTGTGGTGTTTGCTTCGCCGCTTCAGAGCATCAGGCCGTTGGGTCAGGGTTGCAGTCTCGCCCGTGAACCTTCTAGCTGTAGGGTCTGTAGTGCTGGCCTCTCATTCATGCTTGACGTCACTAGTGTATGCCTTCTCAGTCGTGGCTGTTCCACCCAAAGGAGCCTTTCCAGAGAACCAGCTTGAGTCCCATTGATTTTCCTCTGTTACTCGCCTTTGCTTCACTGAGCTCTGCTTGTACCTTCATTGCTTCCTTCTTCTGCTCTGGATTTCATTTGCCCTCCGTCTGGTTTCTCAAGGTGAAAGCATAGGTTACTGATTGACTCCTTTCTCCTTTGAGGATGACAGCTATTCCTAACTCATTTTAATCGCCCGGCTGCCTCACGGCAGCTCTTTCCTAGCCTCGTGGGCTTTCTTCCCACTGTTTGCAGAAGAGCACATATTCAGAGACTCCGGGACCCCCTCGTCTCAGGACTCTGCCTCACACACCCCAGCCAGCTCACTTGCCCGTGTCCCCAGCTGTCTGCACAGGCTCCCCCAGCCCTTTGTCAGCACCACAGCTGGAGGGCCTGTGGCCATAAGTTAGGCATTTGTTCTCTGTGTCCCCCTCCATGCAGTAGCTGAAGGTGTCTTTTCCTCTGGTTTTTCTGGTTTTCTCATGGTTTATGACATCTGTTGGGCAGCTTATGTGGCAGTTATTCCTTCATGACTGAGACCACAAGTCATTTGTTAAAGCATTAAGATTTTTTCTGTAACTTTTTAATAAACTTTCAAACCTACAGGAAAGTTGCGAGAAGAACCCAGGGGCAGCATGGGATTTTCCAACGTGTCTCCCGGCCCGCTCTGCCCCCGCCTCAGCTGAGGAACCACCCTTGTGCCAGCCCTCGCCTGAGGGACATGACTCCTGGGAAGCATTTAGTGGGGCCTCGGCCCAGCGCCTTCACTCCTATTGTTCTTAGGTGCTGTCAAGTCGATTTTTGACTCATAATGACCCCATGTGACAGTGTAAAACTGCCCCATAGGGTTTCCTAAGCTATAAAATTTTTTAAAGAAATTTTTATTGTGGTTTAGGTGAAAGTTTGCAGAGCAAATTCATTCACACAGCAGTTCATACACATTTTGTCTCATGACACTGATTGCAGTTCTCCTCAATGCAACAGCTCTCCTCTCACTTCCTCCCCATAGTTACCTCTTCCCTGGGTCCTTCCCTCCATGCACTCCTGCCACCCGAGCTGTCCCCCTGTGCAAAAACACTGCCCTTCTGTTCCCCCACAGTCGATCCTTCCAAGGAGTGTATCTACCTGATGTAAATGTTCACCCCATTTGCCTATTGTTTGCCTGGAAGCCACAGGAGTGATGAGTTCAGTTCCAGACCTGAAGGGTAACTAGGGGCCATAGGCTCTATCACACTGGTAAACCTGGTCTCTCTTTTCTTTTTTTTTTTTTTTATGATTTTGATTTTTATTCCACATTGTTCTCCCTCTCTATCCAGGATCTCCTGCACTGATTCCTTTCCAAGTGGTTGATAGTGATAGCCAGGCACCATCTAGTTCTTCTGGTCTCATGGTCATATAGGCTGAGGATTGCATGGTCTACCAGTCCCTTGGACTAATTGTTTCCATTGTCTTTGGTTTTCTTCATTCTTCTTTGCTTTGGATGAGGAGAGACCCATCGTTGCATCTAGATGGCCACTTACAAGCTTTTAAGACCCCAGTCACTACTTGCCAAAGTAGGATGTGGAACAATGTTTTGTGTAGTATGTTGTGCCAGTTGAGCTTGATGTCCCCGTGACTTACGGTCCTGAGCTCTCAGGTGCAACTACTCACTCCCTCTGGGTAGCTGGCTGTGACCAAGCAATGACTCCAACCTTGGCCCTTGTCACCTCTACTGTACCCCTGGACAGTCTTACAGCACATACAGATACACATGTAGGAATACATATTTGGCTGCCCCTAAGCTATGATTTTTGTGGAAGCATATCACTAGTCTTTGTCCCGTACAGCCACTGCGTAGGTTCAAACCACCAACCTTTCGGCTGTCAACCGAGTGCTTAACTGTTGCACCACCAGAGCTCCTTAGTCTGTTAGGTTCTCCGTGCTCCCCATGAGCATTGCCTCCCATTTCACCACCAAAGGAAGGAACGAAGGAAGGTGGTGGAGCCGGGCTGTGTGTCTTCCCTACAGCACTGACCCCCTTTGGCTGATTGCTTGTTTGCCTGTTGTTTGAGCCCTACACTTACTTTATTTTGTGTTAGTCTGGTTGTCCCTTCCTGGCTGGTTGACACCCTCTCACTGTTTGCAGCTGATACTTCCTTATCTCATGTAATATCTCAAGTGATAGTGTTAGGCAGCCACATGGTGTATGTGGTAGTGACATGTGGTAGTGACAGCCACATACTGCACACCTAGTTGACGTGGTGGTGAGAGACAGGCACATGGTGCATGCAGTGTTGAGACATGGTGGGGGCATGGTGCACACAACATTGAGCTGTGGTGGACATAGAAAGCCACATGGTACACATTGTGTTGACATGGTGGTCACAGCCACATGGTGCACGCATGATTGAGAGGTGATGGTGACAGACAATCACATGGTGCACGCAGTGTTGAGACATGGTGGTGACAGCACATGGTACACGTGGTGTTGAGACATGGTAGTGTCAGCCACATGGTGTTGAGACATGGTGACAGATAGTCACGTGGGCATGCGGTGTTGAGACGTGGTGACAGCCACATGGTACACCTGATATTGAGAGGTGGTGGTGACACCCACATGGTGCATGAAGTGTTGACATGGTGGTGACAGATAGTCACATGGTGCGTGCAGAGTTGACATGTGACAGCCACATGGTGTACATGGTTGAGACATGGTGGCAACAGGCACCTGGTGTATGTAGTGTTCGGACATGGTTAGATCAGTCACATGGTACACACAGTGTTGACATGGTGGTAATAGACAGTCACATGTGTACGTGGTGTGGAGACGTGGTGGTGACAGCCATCCACATGGTGCACGCAATGTTGACGTGGGGTTGTGACAACCACATGGTGCATGTGTTATTCACCTGTGGTGGTGACAGTCAGCCACACAGTGCATGTGGTGTTGACATAGTGGTGACAGACAGCCACATAGTACATGCAGTGTTGGTAACAGCCACATGGTGCACACAGTATTCATACATGGTAGTGACAGGCAGTCACTTGGTACATGCAGTGTTGAGACGTGGTAGTGGTCAATCTCCTTATCCTCTTCAGAGAAGCAGTAAGAATCCTTCAGAAGTAAGTTCCCCAGAGGTCTGGCCACATATACAGCATGCTGTCTCTGCAAGCTGAGATGCCCAGGCCCGGGGTCACCTGCCTGTATCTCCTGCCTGGGAGGACGGCCAGCCCCATGCTGATGGATCAAAACTCCCATTGGCCAGCTCACAGGTCTCCGGATTGGTTCACCCCCACAGTGACCTCCCGTCCCACTTGTCTACTTCCCTCCTCACCGTCTGTGTGGCCAGCCTCAAAGCCAGATAAATGACGGTTCTCCTCAAAGGGTAAAAGCTTTCTGGACTTTCTGTCCATGTTGCTGCCTGAAGCTGAACCAGTGCCAGCTGAGTGGATGCCAACTTGTGGAGACCTGTGTGCGTCAGGGCAGAGCTGGGCTCCGGGGCCACCCGTGGCTGGCCTTCCAGTGGGACGGCATCAGACCTTTCTTCTGGCGCCCCTGGGTGGATGCGAGCCTCTGACCCTTCAGTCAGCAGCGAGGTGCTCAACCATTTGTGCTGTTACAGGAGGCAGCCAGTCAGATGAGCTAAATTCATGTCTTCATCGTTTACAACTAAGAATGGGATCGACTGAAGATGAAACTTAGTCATCATCTTCATTCAGTGATTTTTAAAGTCCTCTGTGAATGCTAATGAATAGTCTAAGCTATTAGAAATTAGTGTTAAACAAAGAAGCGACTAGCCAGCCATGTCTTTTGCCTGAAGCCTCCTGGACACACAGAGCTATCTGGGGCCTTGTCTGTACCCATACAAGGGCAGCACAACCTCCCGGCCATGGCTCTTGCAGGGAACCTCACAGCCCAGTTGGTGCTAGCATTGGTTGGTTTGCTCACCTTCCCCTTTAGACTTGGTGTTTGGGTTATTTGTGGCCTGGAGTTCCATGTTAGCTGATTAGAGTTTCTCTCTCAGTGCTTTTGTATTGCCAACCTTTCTAAAGATCATCCCAAATTATTTCAAGATGTTATCTCTGTCTCTTTTCTTGAAATTCACTGTGAGTGGGTTAAGACTCTGGACTTGACCCCAGGATGTTAAATACTTCCTCTTTGTAACTGCTCCCCAGTGCTGAAGCCCCACACCCCACTCTCTGCAAGAAAGGCACACCAGCTGCCCCCATGGCCCTTGGTGAGCCAGAAATGCCCCGCCCACGTAAGGTGGGTGGGTGTGGATGGAGTAAAGATGGATAGCCTAGACATTAGCGGACCAGTTTTGGCTATTTTGAATCAGACAACCATATGATCTACTATAATAGGAATGACAAATTGAAGAGGAATGGTGTGGCATTCATCATCACAAAGAATGTTTCAAGGTCTGTCCTGAAGTACAATGCTGTCAGTTGTTGTTTGTTATGTCATAGCAACCCCTTCTTGAGTTTGATAGGATAATATCCATATGCCTACAAGGAAGACCAGTTAATACTGCTATTATTCAAATTTATGGACCAACCACCAAAGCCAAAGATGAAAAAATTAAAGATTTCTACCAACTTCTGCAGTCTGATATTGACCAAGCATGCAATCAAGATGTAGTAATTATCACTGGGGACTGGAATGCAGAAGTTGGA